GGTTCGAGACCTGGCACCCGATGACTTTTATGTGACATTAGTTAGACAAATTACTTAACCTTCATTGACGCCCTAGTTCCCTCATCTACAAAATGGGTTTTCAGTACTTTGCAGATTCACTGTAAAAAAGTAAGATAACATCATAAAGAAGGTAGCATCAAGCCTGCCTCCAAATTAACAGTTTAATAATCGACACCATAGGTGTTTGACAACAACAGTGATGATGTTTACTTGTTGTTAGTGGTTGGGAGAAATCTTTGGAAATGATGGAACTAGGTGACGTAGTAATTTTAAACCAAGAAGGTTCTGGAAAACAATGACAACTACAAGCACCTTAACATCTACTTAAGGCTTTCAGTTAAATACTTCTACGCAAACAATCATAGCTGTTCATGCCAGTGTGCACAGATACCATCACTAGTCCTCTCGATGTCTCTATGACGTTGGTAGTAAAACAATGTCCACTTTATAAATGAGAAAAATTCCACAGAGTGAGCACCAGAACCAAGGCCTTGGACTTCTAGGCCAGTGGCTGCCCCCTGATGTCATGCGACCTTCTTGGGAATGAAACGCCTTATCTGTAAGAGATTGATGGAGCTGCAAACAAAAATGGGCCCATGAAGGAGAAATTCAAGGTAGAAGTTTCATATTGGGCTACTTGTAACAAACTTACAACATTCCAGAGTTACCTGTGACCATTAAGGGAAATAATACATGCATAAATACATTTATGCTGGATCACATTCTAAGAAAGAGGTCAAAGTTATACAAACAGCCAACTTGAGGAGCTATGCTATTCTCTTCCTTATGAGTCATGGTTTTAATGGAAAGCGGGCACAGTGGACAACTCTGGCAGGCAAGGGTGTAGGAAAAGAGCACAGAAGCACACGAAGCATCATAGAGCTGCCATTCGATCCTACAATTCCTCTGCTAGGTATATATCCAGAAGACCAAACATCACACTACAATAAAGATATTTGTATCAGAATGTTCACTGCGGCCCAATTTATAATCGCTAGGTCATGGAAGAAGCCCAAGTGCCCATCAACCCACGAATGGATCAATAAATTGTAGTACATGTACACCATGGAACATTATGCAGCCTTAAAGAAAGATGGAAACTCTACCTCCTTCATGTTTATATGGATGGAGCGGAAAAATATTCTTCTTAGTAAAGTATTTCAAGAATGGAAGAAAAAGTATCCAATGTACACAGCCCTCCTATAAAACTAACTTGTAGCCTCATAGGAAAACTATAACCCAATTTTAGCCTAAGAATATGTGAAAAGGGGAGAGGGAGGGGGGAGGATGGGTGGAGGGAGGGTGATTGGTGGGATTATGCCTAGATTTATCCTATAAGGGTACATGTGAATCTCTCTAAATGTAGAATATAAATGTCTTAACACAATAACTAAGAAAAAGACATGAAGGCTATGTTAACCAGTTGGATGAAAGTATTTCAAATTGTATATAGCAACAGCACTCTGTACCCCATGATAGCACTAATGTACACAGATATGATTTAATAAAATAAATAAATAAGTAAATAAATCCTGGCTCTCAGATTTGACTGATGTGCTCTGTGACCTTGGGCAAAACTGAAGATTTCTCAGGGCCTTGTACGTGGTGGTAACACTGCTTACATTTTAGGCTATTACTGAGATTCCACGAAATCTAGATAATTTATCAAGTTTTTAGCTGATACCAAATATCAAAGCCACCAGCTTGTGGCATTTTCTTCCATAATCATGGAGCACCAAGTACACACTGGGTATAATTCTAGGTGCTGGAACTGCACAGTGGCAGTAAGTGGTGTAAAAACCCCTTCTCTCAAGGGACACAAGTGCCAGCGAGGGAGATAAAGATAAATCATGACGTAATAAAAATGAGCCCTGCAGAGCATGTTGGCAGTGTGACCACCACGAAACAAGATACCCAACCGGAGGAGAGGACCTTGGGCCCACTGGGGTGGGTTCAAAATTTTCAGTGCGTGGTCTTTTAGACGGTGACATGGAATTCAAAATTTGTCAGAGCAGCAGGAGCCATGGGGATAGTTCAAGCAATAAAGGTCCAGTCACAGAAACAGCCGGCACAAAGGTTCCGGGGCAGGAAGATAATGACGTGGGAGGCTGGTGCAGAGCGTTCAGCGGGGAGGGAACGTGACGTGGTGTCACAGACGTGTGGTGAGGAGCATATGGGCCACGCAGGCCTTTGAAGGCTGCCGGGAAACTTTTTTGGAATTAATTTTAGATTGACACAAGCATTGCAAAAGTGGTACAGCGAGTTCTTACCCTTCACCCAGCTTCCCCGAATGCTAACATCTCATCTAACCCCGTGCATTTTTCCAACCTAGGAAATTACTGCTGGCATACGCTGTTAACTGAACGACAGATTTTATTTGGATTTCCCTGGCTTTTCCACTAATATCCTTCTCCTGTTCCAGAATCCAATCTGGGATCTCCAGTTGTATTTGCAGGATTTGGGCTTTTACTTTTTGATAGAAACTGACGAGTCACTGGAGGGCTCGTCACAAAGGAAGGGAATGAGGTGACTTATGTTTTAGCAAGATTGCTAGATGTTTTCTTTTTCTACTTAAATCTGAGTTCGGAGGAAGAGGATGGGCAGAAGACTAGAATTGTAATTTAGTAGGCTTCTCCCAAAACCACCCTTACACTACCCACAAGAATAGCAAACGTCCTTTATCCAAGTTATACCAACACAAACAACCACAAACAATTAACAGGTATTTTACAAATAAGCAATACTATGTAAATGCTAAATAATAAACACAATATTCACTTCCTTAACAGTTCTACTTAGCTTTTATTACTACAAATGCTAATTGCCCCAAAACCTTAAATTTATATCACTCCTTTCTCCCTAATAACCAAGTATTTTCAACTTCTATTTTCTTAATTGTCTGAACTAATAAGCTAGCCTGGTTAGAACACGGTGATAATGTGGTCAGAATTACAGGTTTGATGTTATACATTTGGCTTTGCACAAGAAAGAGAAAAAAGATAAAAGCATCCAGTAGCCATTAAAATTGTTCTGAATGGAGAATAGTCAAGTTATAGATGTTGAGTGCCTTTTAAACAAACAAACAAACAAACAAACAAATAAAAAATAAAGGTGCCTAAATCACCAATCTGAAGTTCAAAGTCAGCTGTTCATCTTCAAAACTGCTATGCAGTGAATGCCCTCCCCCATTTCTGATAGGGAATTGAGATCTAGAGAGACTAAATCTCTTTCCTCCATCTACCTGACAGACTATCTAATGATTAAAAGACTGAGCTCAAGAATTTCATCTTCTTTGTTTGAGTCTTATTCTACACCACTGCTGTGCAACCTTGAGTGTGTTAGCTAACGTCTCTGTGCTCAGGTTGCTAGTCAATAACATTGATTTTCATATGAAGGTACATAAAGCACAGGCTTGCTGCAAAATATGACAACACATATAAGATAATATGTAAATTAGTAGAATGTAAACACTCCAATTTGTAAAATAATCAACATATTGAATCCCAAAAAGGCATAAATGTATTCACGATCTATGTATATATGACTTAATTAAAAAAATGATGCTTTTCCAATTTCAAAAAATATATATATTTAATAATATCTTATTGTTGCTGGGATGACAAAAGATCTCTGTTTATCTGGCCATCACTCTTGTTTCTCCTAAGTCTATCCTGGAATACACCTCATTAAATGGAAACTATCAATTTCCCCATCAGCCTAACTAAAGTCTGGGATGAGAATAGGATCTGAGTCTTTTTCATTTCTTTATCCCCAGTGCCTAGCACACAGCCTGGCATACACTAAAGGCTTTTGAGCAGAAGCGAACTCTTCCAAAAGACCCTTCCAGGCTAATAGTCTAGACACAGCTGAGGCCAGATGTCACCATCTACTAGAAGTTTTGATTCTTCTTGGTTCCAAAACCAGCCTCCTTGGCTCATGAAGTCATCAAGACTGGGTTGTGATCACCCAAACATGTGGACTAAGCCTGCCAGCTCTGTACTATAGTAAGAACTTCCTTGCCATTGGGGGTTACCAATTCGATCTTGGTAACGGTACCAGTACCTTCTGACATGAGCCACGCACCTTAAATGAGCCAGTTGCGCACTGGCTGCTCAGAGGTCTTCACTGAATTGCAACCACTCTGCCCCGTGCTCCCCCTTTCTCTAGTGAGGACACAGCAATGCTCAGTAGTGCCTCAGGGTTCTGTGTGTCTGATACTAAGTTTTAATTCTTATGGAAGATTTTAGGCTGTCTAAACAGCTCTTAAAAAATCATAGACACTGCAAAATTCAAGAGAAAAGAGGAAGGAAAGAGGAAGAGAGAGCAGGGAGAGAGGGAGGATGGAAAGACAGATGGACGGACACACCTTTCTTCCTGGAATTCTTGTGTGTTTACTGTGAAAAAGAGAGGATGAGGCAGGAGACTCTTGAGAATGGCAAATAGGTCATGAGAAACTAAGAGTGGGGCCGGGGAAATGTTTAAGACATAAATCTCACGGGGTCATGAACTATGGATTCCTTCTCTCTGCTTCTGCAGTGCATATTAAGAATTGAGCTGAGGTTCAGTTCAGATTTTGCCATAAAAAGCATCATAATCAATTCACAGTGACCTAGTGGTCACTCAGGCCATGCCATCCATCAGGCCCGACTCCAACTTCACAGAAGACACCCTGGTGCTTAGGAAGATGCTTCCAGAAAAGGTCTTCTTAAGTTTTCACCTTCTAATGCTGAAGTCCTTTACCTCTAGATGTACAAAGAGTATCCTGCTTTTGTTTTTATTTTTAAGTATCCTCTAACTATGAACGAACGCCACGGATTATATAAGAAACCGTACGTACTGACCAAAGCTCTCACAACATGTAAGTAAAGAGGCAAACCTGGGAAACAGATGTAAAATTCCACGATGGAAAAAAGTAAAAAGGTACAGACTCAGCAAACAGAAGACAGTCTGGAAAGATGAAATAAAAATCAAGGTATGAAACCATCCTTTTTGGGGGTTGTGCTACTGTCCACTGAGTGCACAGAGAGGGCAGTCCTGCTAACACCTACAGCACATGCTCCCATCAACTAGAGCTTGGCTTTGTATTGGTGCAATTTTTGGAAAAAAGAAAAATCTGCTTTTCCTATTAAAAAAAAAAAATCAAGGAATGGTCATTTTTTGAAGACATTCTCTACTTTGCTGATATGAGAATTAAAAAAAAGAGAGAGGTAGGCCCAACCCAAGGACTGAAAGAAGTTTCCACATGAAGCCTGAGGCTGAGCTGACATAACATGGAACTCCCCTCTGCCCATAGGTCTCAATATAAAGACTAAGCACTGGTCTCAGATCATTCCAGCAATTAAATGATCAGGGATTCCTCATTCAAGGGTATGTAGTGACAGGAAAAACGCGGGGTTTTTGCTATTTTTTGAAAAAATTAAGTTTCTTCATCTGTGAATATATGTAAATATTTTCTATGAAAATGATTGTGCAATAAATTTGCTATTAAAATGTCTAAATTCGTATAAGGTGGCAGGATTTCATCATCACCAGCTCCTCAAATATCTATGTTCTTCCTATATTTGGGGTGTTGGATTTAAGCCAAAAAAAAAAAAAATTCAAATAACTTTGAAAAAAAAAAAAGAGAGGTAAAAAGAAAGGGCTAAAATGGCTAAGAGGAGAGTGGAATGACAATATCATTATGGGCTGGTGAGGAAGTGGAGAGCTCTGTCCTGCGCAGGGGAGAGGATGAAGGAGGGAAGGTGGGGACCCGTCATTCTCAACCTGTGGGTCTCCATCCCTTGTTTCCATTTGTAACAATACGGCACTTAGGAGGGTTGAGAACCACTGGTGTGGATGCAGGATATTTGCATGTACTGTTTCCTTTCCTGGAATGTTCCTCCTGGGGTTTGTCACGTGAATGACGGGCTCTTCCTCATCCTCATTTGACAGAAATAGCACATCTTTATAAAACCTTTCCTGACCACTCTGTCCAACAGCATGTTGGAAAAAACAAAACACCCTGCCGATTTCTATGGTGTAAACATCTCACATCATGGCTTATCTCAAGCTATCAATGTCATCTCCCTGAACAGATCTGGCAAGAAACGCTCACACGTGGCTCTTGCCAGCCTGATCCAAGAGGTCTAATTGATGACCTAGCTATCGTATCTCGTACCTACTCCTCCAAGTCACAACATGCCATTCCATTGCCCGTTCCTTTGTAACATTCCTCACATTCTGCAATTGCCCCATATTCACTTGCTTACTCACTGGATGTTTCTCCTAAAACTAACAGCATAGCACTGTTACCTGACTTGAATACTGCTGTCTTCCCAGCACCTAGTGGCCGTCATCCAGCCAGCATGCCCCAAATATTCCTGCTACAGGTCTCTCATCCTTTGCCCTGTGGCTTATGATCTGGGGCCCCTGGCAGGTTCATCTCATTCATTTCCTGTCTGTTGGTGCTTCTTGCTGTCCACTGTCAGACTCCCCCGCTGCATATGCGTTGACCATCTTCTCAGTTACTTAAAGCAGCACTCCCCAACCTCTGAGATGCCAGGGACCAGTCTCAGGGAAGACAATTTCTCCATGGACTGCCTTTCAAGTATGGAGATGATTTCAGGATAATTCAAGTGCATTGTATTTATCAGGCACTTTATTTCTATTCTTACATTGTAATATAAAATGATAAATTATACAATTCACCCCAATGCAGCGTGAGTGGGAGCCGAGGCTGTTCTGCAACTAGCCGGTCCCATCCTGTCTTTGCAGCTGCTCCCCAGCACTAGCACCACTGCCTTCGCTGCGCCTCAGATCATCAGGCATGAGGTTCTCAGAAGGAGGGCAACCTAGATCCCGTGCACATGCAGCTTATAGGAGGGTGCGCGCTCTTACGAGAATCAAACGCCACTACTGATACGATGGGGGTGGAGCTGGGGCTGTGATCTCAGTGATGGGGAGTGGCTGTAAATACAGATGAAGATTCCCCTGCCTGTCACTGCTCACCTGGTGCTGTGCAGCCGGCTCCTTACAGGCCGTGAACTGGTTCTGCTCTGCAGCCCACAGATGTAAAGCAGTCCCTATAATTCCACCACGGTGAAAAGCTAAAGTGCTCTAAGCATTTAATTTTGGATGAAAATATCCTATGCATATTTCTGAGTCTGCATGAAGGGGATAGTCTTAACGGTTACCAAGAATTTGAAAATTTAGGACAGTGTCTGAAAACCTATTGGCTGGTGGCGTCCATTGAGTCTAGAGGCATGGCAAACAGTCTAGAAATTTCTGAGCCTTCTTGCTTCTATGAGGTTGAAATTAAAAATGGGAATCCTTTTTGAGCACTGTTTGTTAATATGAAAAACATCATTTAATTAGGACTAATATAAGATGCCCTGTAGAGTGATAATTTAATAATTCGGCCGTTTTATTTATACAGTGCCTCCAGGCTCCTCATTAAAAATGGAAGAGAAATTCAGTGAGACAACACAGCTCTGCAGCTACCAACATCCCAAGTGCTCTCAGATCATAAAGTCCCCCCCTCTGGGCATCGTAAGAGCCATCTCCCTGGCCTGCGAGCAGATATGTGAGTTGCCAAATTAACCTTCGTGGACAGGGGAATCCAGCAACTGTTTTCTCTGGCACTGTAGGGAATTCCCCAGTCCAGGACAAAAATAGTCTCTAGAGGAGCCCAGTGGGAGGGGGAGGGGGGTCTCCCTGCTACAAGACTCTCTGCCGGGTTCCCCTTGCTTTTTGAATTAAATCTAAATTCCCTGCTTGTTAGGAAGACCCCAGCTTTATAACTTCATTCCGAGTACCACTTTGCTCATTCCTATCCTTGTAGCACCCAGCAGCCTGACCATCTTCCAAATTGGGGGCTACTTAAGTCATAGGTGTCAGCTGCTAGATTTACTCTGCAAAGACTTCCGAGGTGTTTTTCCCACTGAAAGCCTTGACCTGGAACTTCTTCCTCTCCCTGTTGGTCAGACTGGATTCTCCTCATCAGAGACTCTTCAGTGTCCCCCAACTATTACCCAGCACTCCCCTGTCTGTTTCTCTCACATCACCACCCAGGTGAGCAATTATGCCGATGAATGTTTGGCCCCCTGGAATGTAAGGTCTGTGAGCGTGGCTTTTCCTTGGTCTTGTTCAACATCCTTCCAGATCCCAGAGAGGTAGGCTCTTAACCAGGAAAACTTAACTCATAATGAAGTGGGTTTCTGACTAGTAATGTGGCGGGAACGTGCCATTATGCCTGGAATGTCCTCTCTGCTTTCTGCCTATCTGTACCACAGCCCACGACTCAAGGACAGGTGGACACGGCTATGTTGAGTGGGAAACAAGCCACAGAGCAAGGCCGTCGCCTCTCCGTGGGATGCACCGGGATGTGGGAGAGATACACGGATGGAAGCAGAAATTGGCTAGAGAGGAGAAGCTTCTGTGTCTCACGTGGCTTAGTGCCTACGCGTCCTGCTCGTGCCTGTGACTGCCTGTGCCCTTTGCATTGGTCTATGCTACCAGTCCGTGATGAGTTCCTCAAGGATATGGAGTTGGTTTCATTCACCTCTATGTTCCCAGCATTGATTGTCAGACTTAAAACATCGTTGAAAAAACTAATAACCGAGAGAAGAAAGAGGAGAGAAGGGAGAAGGGAGGGAGGAGAGGGGGAGAGAACATGATGTGAAGAACTCCTTGGTTTATTTCAGAATAATTCTTGGAACAGTCACTGAAAACTGATGGGATAAATTGCTCAAAATGTACACGCTCCACTTATTTCTGGTTTATAGAGTGAGTTCTTCTATAGTCATCAAAAACGGGCACCACAACGGGCAAATGCTGAGATGGGCTTACTGATTATTTGCGCTCTCACCAAAAGCCAAGCGTGCACTTGGCTGCTGCTGTCACCTGCTCGGCTGTGTCTTCTCCAGGATAGGCTGCTCTTCCACCTTAAAACACACATGACCTCCTCTCCGTTCATTAGCCACAATAGCAGGGTTCAACTTCATACTAACTCTTCTAAGAACAACAGCTTAGAACCATGAAACCTGCTTCCACCTGCACGGAAAAGCAGAAGGAGCAAGACGCCTGCACCAAAACCCCAAACACAATCGAGATAATTTAGAAGTCTAATTTCTAAAAGCACACGGCTTCTAATGGGACAGTTATTTGTCGGGCCCACCTTGTTTTGGATTCTAACTCTGCCAGTGGAGTGGTAAATTCACTGTCCACGTATGAAAAGGGTTATTTGCTTTGGTTTTTCTTTTTCTTCAATACAGTAGGTAAGTCTTTTAAGTAACCCTGGCTTGCAAAAGGGATTAAATGCACAGTCAGATTCACTATTTCTCTTCATCTCCCATCTTCTCTTTTCTCCTACGTCTCATTTTTGGCATATCCACAAAGAGCAAGGTGCTCACTCAATAAATTAGGTTTGCAGAAACGGTGGTGCCAACTGACACAATTATGCACTTGTTGAGTTAGTGGCCACGTATAAACAGACTTTGTAAGTCATCACACTTCATACTGAGAGGGGCTAATGCATCATCATGATCTAGCAGGTTGCCTGCTGCATTTTACAGCACTGCACACTACATTAACCTTTGGTACCACCAATATTTATGACCTTATAAGAAAGTATTTATCAAGCTGAAAGCCAATATGCAGCACCCGTGTGTTAGCCAGTGCTGTTTAGAAACCATTATCACTCCTCTCTCCGGGCAATTTAAATCACTCCAAGATAATGCTTGGTACTGGCATTGAGTGCGGGAGCTGGGACACTCCCGTGAAGCTTTGGTGGGAGTTTAAATTGGTATGATCTTCCTAGAGGGTGATTTTTTAGTTTTATCTGACTATCAAGAGCCTTAAAAATGTGCACTTTTACTCTTTGACCCAGCAGTTCTACTTCTGGGAATTTATCCTATAGAAACAATCACAAAAGTCTGCAGAGATTTGCAAGAAGAAATTCATCATAGTGATATTTGCCACCGTGAAAAATGGGGAAAAACATAAAGGTTCAAGTACAAGGGATTGGCTAAATAAACTGGCTCAACCCAAACAAGGCCCCACATTAAAACATAGAAAAGCCATCAGAGGTAAACAAAAAAAAAAGGTTAAAATATATTTACTGACTTA